TCTTTCCACCTTCCAGCCTGCGCATTGGATTTTTTAGGTGAGACACAGTGTGCGCGGAACTGAGCCCACCCTTTAATCCTGAGGTTCATCTGCCGGGGCCAAGCACGCTTGGACGGTGGCAGCGAGGTCCTCAGGACGTAGATGGATTGCCTTACAGGGCTAACGAGCTCCATCTGCCCGGGGAGTGTCTTAACTGGGAATCGAACCCAGATCTCAGTGTTGACAACGCTGTGGTTTAGCCACTGCACCACCAGGGACACTCAATGCTGTAACAATAATGCCAATTGAGAGGGCAAGGAAGAACTCGAGTTAAAGAAAAGATGCCTTGCAGCATAGCAGCAAGCGATGTAGACTAAAAGCTTCTCACACAGACACTTACCAATTCACATGAGATAGATAACCTGGTTCTTGTACAATTTTAAGTAGCAACTTACACAATTACATTACTGTCCAAACATGACAAACTTTTGGCAATTTAAAGAAAAAAAAATTTGCTGGCTAATATAATTTCAGCTATATGTAATTCTAAGAGAAGGTACCTGTGGCTGCCATCTACAAAAATACCTGCCCCTGCCACAGTGGAAGCCTACTTTCCACAAAGCTTAACAGTTGGTCCTGATGATCTTAAAAAGTCTTTCAACCTAAATGATTTTATGATTCTAAACTATTGGGCCCCAGTGAAAATAGAAAGGCTCTGTAGATGAAAGCCAGCAGTAGGGATATAACAGCTCCAAAATAATCTTTATCTCTGACTATGGAAGGAAGTGAGTCAGCAGCAAAAGTAGAAAACAAAATTTACTAAATCCCTCTGTGACGCAGTTTCATATTCAACCAAGGCCCCAGATGTAATGAAAGTTATAAACTCTTAAACCACTGCCTCACAGAGCCTTCCTGTATGTGCACTAGATGTTTCTCAGCTTTCAGATAAACAAATTTTGGTACACTCCCCATTGCTCAGGAAGATTTGTAGCACCAGATGCTGCTGAATACTAGAACAAAGACAGGCCTTCAAACAAGTATTGCAGCACCCTTTCTAAAACCCATAGATCTTTATCATCTACAAAACTATCCAGCAAACCACAGCACAATGAGGTAACAAAACATCAAGAAACCCCTGGATACAAGACCTAATTTTAAAGGTTAGTCTGTAAATATCAGTAAAAGCAAGCTAGTTTTTCCCTTGTCTTTGAAAAAGCATCATTAGGCAAGAGTTCCACTTCCAAAAGGTCTAGCACATGAAAGAAATTAGGAGAGAACTACTTGATCCTTTCAGCTAGCTGACATTCTCTCCACACCAGTGGTTCCATACACCTGTGCAATCACAACAGTACATAAACAGGTCTAGCACTCTGGTAAAGGAAAGAAACTAAAATCAGTCAAATATCTGGAAATTCAAATATCTGTATGGAAGGGACTGGACAAACAAGGCAATGTCTAGAGGCACTATTCATGGCAGCTCACCCCCACATTCTGTACCTTATGATTTAAAGCAGAAGCTTTCCAGCTAGAAAACAAACAGGTTTCCAGCCCTCAGTTTGTTTTCACCCAGATACTGCTGTCAAAATCTGCTTTTGATCAAAACTTCCAGCTTGGCAGAAATATTTCACCACTAGTATTTCCCCCTTCTAGCTAGACGTCTATACTGTTATATGGAGTGTGTATATATATATATATATATCTTTAATGGAGATAGAGATAGGAACACATATGTTGAGCCCATAGAGTTACTTTCCATTTCTGTGAATTAACACAGGCATTTTTATACTACTTGGTGATTAAATAAAGAAATTGCATTGACACTGTTCCAATATTTATATGAAAACAAGTAATTTTTCAGATCCTTATGGTCTTTTAAAGGATCAAAGATGATTTATGGCACCACTAAGATGTTTAGCTACTTCACAAAAATATAATTCAAGATAGTTTTGATTCTATGGTTGCCACCATAAAAAACACAAGCCCTACAAGCCTCAAAACCTCATAATTCCCCTGCTTGTTTGTCCTTATTCACACTAGCAATGCCTCAGGCAGCAGTTTAAGAGGTGAATAGACCTGAAGACTGAAGGACAGCAGGTTGCAGGCAGAAATTGTTTTTTAACAAACAAAAAAACCTAAACAACCCCTTCTCCTATATAGAAAACCCACAAACCCCCCTCAGTTAACACACTTCCATTATCAAAATATACATAACAGATCACAGCAGCTACTACTGAACCTTTTCCTTAAATATTTCCTGCAGAAATGCTGCCTCTGACATATACAAAACCTTTTTGCTTATTAGAGTTCAATCTTTTCTGACATGCAGTACTATACTTTGAATATATAAAACCTGAACTCTGTATTTAATGTCACAGCCACAAATTTAGTCTATGCAAAGGTTCTCCCATTAGTGTTGTAGTCTGCCCATCTGCAGTCATGTTCATACTGAAGAAAACTATTTTAGGAAAGTTGTGTTGGGAAGGATTATGTCTTACATTTTGCTTGCAAGTGGAATTATTAGATTCTGAAGGAATTCTGACACAGAACCTGGGAGCAAGACACATGCCAAAGAATGAATAACAGTTGTTTGTCATAAAAAGCCCAAACAATTGAGGACGGTCCCAGTTACAACGGCCCTTGAACAAACAAGGTCATTGATATCACACTCCTGATTTGAGAACATTCAGTTCAGCATATTCAGGGAAAGCGAGTACACAGAAGCTAAATGGCATTTTCCTCATTTTAAGTGATGAACCAGGGGTCTAAATAGTAAATTATTGCATACATCCCTAAATTTTAAGGTTCCTTCCTACCCCTAAAGAGGATTCTAATTCTAGAGTGGCATTCAGCAAAATTAGTGAATTATTAGTGAAACAGACTGAACAGAGGTAAAAGAAGTGTTCATTTACCAAAACACCTGATCTGAAGAACAATGAATAGACATCACTCATGATTTTGTTTCAATCAAGTTTAAATAAATAAATTCTCCACATAAAGAAAAACTAAAACATACTCCATCCCTAAAGAAAGCTACAGAAACACAGTAAGTACTGTTAGTGAGATGCTAAGTCAAATGGCTAAGAATATGAACTCTGTGAAGTTTAAGTGTGTGACACACACATTTCTGCATCAGACCCTACTACATAGGAAAAGACCTCTTAAAAAAATAAAAATAACAATCAATACTTTTTAGCAAGTTTTCTAGAATCGAAGATATTAGTAAAAGAAAGAGGGATTACACCAAACCTAAAAACTGAAGCTCAAGATCACGCTTCTCATCTTTCCCTTAGAAAAAGTACATGCAGGAATAACTGGAAAAATATATATTATCAAAGCTCAGTAGGATTCTGTGCAGAGTGCCTGAAGAATAGCAGCACATACAAGCTCAATCAAAGCAAAGTAAGACTACACCACTAGTCTGTGCGATTTCTTGACTAATGTAGACAGAATGTCTTCATCAACACAGGCTTCCATACAAGCATAAGCCTTCTCCATGACTGGAAATATTTGCATATTTCTGGAAGCCAACCACTTATACACATATTGTCAGGTGTGGAACCCAGATTTCTGCCACTGTATTTTAAGCTCAGTATTAGTACTCCACAAAGCATCCTAAATATTTTCTCAGTTGTTTATCTAAATACAATATTAATGGAATTATGAACATACTTCTGCCTCTCCATTTTCACTTCCAGAAGGCAGGCAGTGGCATGGTAAAGTGGCTCACATTTTGCCCGCCCCCTTCCCTACAAATACCTACAAGCACAGAAGTGGCTCACCAGGTCAAAGAGCTCAAGTTTCATAGAGACCGTATGCTCATTGCAAATTCTACGGAACAAAGTGCTCCTTGAAGAACTGATGTTCTGTATACGAAAATGTATGTACAGACACACGCTATTTTGTGTATTTCTATTACATTGTACATGTGCTTAGAAAACACAGCAGTCTTTCCCACAAGCCACTGACATACTAATCAAGGTCAGTCAAGACATACATGCCATTCAATTTTCTTCAAAACAGCTCTATGCATTGGGTTTACAGTTTGAAGGTAAAGGTTTAATGTAATTCATTACCACAGAGCAGAGCAAACTAGTACTAAACATAGAGCTGGGATAAAATATAGAAATATCGATGCAGCTTGTGTAAGGTATTATTAAAGACTTCAGAAAAATACTCATCCTATTTTCCTATACATTAGGATAGTACAGTTAAAACGTACCTTCCAGAAGTTTTTGTAAGCTGGATCTCATCACATGAATATTTTCAATGCCAACAAACTGAAACCTAATGTTAGAGTAGTTGTCTTCATTCTCATAGCCCTTCCCAGCAGCTCTGTTCGCCATTGCATTAAGCTTAAAAATAAAAATAAAGACTGATAAGCAGTACTTGAAATAAAAATATCAAATTAAGAAACAAAAGTAATGCAAATTCAGTGGAAGACATTGGGAATAAAACACAAGAGCACACAGTATAAAAACAGGTTCTAATACACAGTTTGTGACAAATCAACTTGAAAGCATTAAAGTCCAAGAAAGGGACGATAAATAAAAACCAAGATCTATATTTAGAGCTGACATATCTGAATAATGCAGAGTAATTTCTAATTCTGTCCTCCGTATTTCCACCAACTTCACTTGTTACCAAACATTTTTGAGCAAAGACACTACAAAAAAATTCACCTAAAAAGGAAAGACCCAGACTTTTCCATCTTCTGTGTTCAGACATCTGAGTGAAATTAATACCAATTGAAATGCAAATGGGTCTTAAAGAGTGGGAGTCACCCCACACATTCCAACACAGGTCATAACATAATTCGACTTAATAACATAATCCAATTTAATTAGACAGTGATGAATTATGGTGGTGAGGCAACGGAAAATGTTCCCCAGAGAAACTGGGGATCCTGGTAGCGTTCAAGGCCAGGTTGGATTGAGGTCTAAGCAAACTGGTTGGGGGGTTGGAACCAGGTGATCTTTAAGGCCCCTTCTAACTCAAACCATTCTGTGGTGACCTCAGAATGCTACAACAGAATTTCCTCTACTTCTTCCTTACTAAGACAGACAGTTTGCACAGATCATTTACACAGAACACAGTACTTCCTCCCATTCCAAAAGAAACCCCTACACAGCTCATAATTTAATGTCAAACAGTTAAAATTACTTGGATCCCACTCAACTACTCAATTCTTAAGCATATTTTTAAATATACCTCTCCAAAAGTTCAGCACCATATTCAGTGAATTCTAGCTGAGTCCTGAGACAGATTCAACTTTTTTAAGAAAGCAAGTAATTAAACACCTGAATAAAGAGGCCTAACCTTCTCTTTAAAACATGATGAAGTCATACTTCACTCCAAATTTTTCAGAATTACACTGTATCCCTGTACTCTAATGTTCAGGAAGAGGCTTGTCTGTAGAACCTGAAGTACATACCTTTGGCCTGGTATCCATGACATACATGTAGCGATTTGAAGGATTTGCTTTACTGATGGCTTGCAACATGTGTTCATCTTCCAGGCACCTGGCACTGAAACCTGAGAGAGGTTGACTGCATCTGCAAATTGCAGCCTAACATAGAAAACAGAGAACAAACTAGCATCAGTTTAATATCTGTAGTTGAAATGCTTTGCATAATTCTAAAAAGACACGGAAACAAATTGTTTTATTCAGCAGATAACATCACTAAACTGAATAAACTTCAAGTATTCCAACTTTTTAAGCATATTACCTGGAGACCTTCAAACACAGTACCTACAACTTAAATCCAAAGGTTTATCAAAACATTTTTTCAGGCTCATCTACATAGGCAATGTATCAGTTTACAAAATGGACTGAAAAACTCAAAAAAAGTATAGGCTGGAAAAAAGTACATTCTAGGAAAGCAAGCTACTGCCCTAACATGAAATGAATTGTTTGGTTTTACTAACATAAGTATGATTTTATTACTGCAAGCACAATATGTTATTATCTAATGCAGTTTTTGTAATGTAATTTCCAATAATATGTTGTATTTCAGAAGGTATTGGGTACATCTTGCAAATAGTAATTACCTTCAAATTAGCTTCACAGTCATCAATTATAAATTCTTCAACTTAGCAAGGTGATTGTCCTTCTCTCCCTCCATATTACTACCTAGCTGAGGCAGGCTGCTTTACACCACTCTCTGCAAAATCTTAGTTCTCATCCTGTAGGGTTTTTTTTACCTTGCAAATAGCTTCCTGGAGAACCAATTCTATTCTTTTGTTGGTTTGTTGTTGGTTTTTTTGTGTTGAGGGTTTTTTTTACCCACCATTTTGACCTACCAGATTTTATTTGATCACAAACAGATTTTATTTCTGATACATCAAGGAACACAGATCCTTTAACAGAAAGCTGCCTTCAGTTACCTTAATGTCAGTTTCTGAAAACCTAAAGAGATTCAACTGATTATCAAATAATTACTTAAGGATTTCTTGTAAACTGGCTTAGTTTAACTCAGCATTGTGTTAGGCACCACTAGTGTCAGCTGTATTTAAGGTTATCATGAGTCACACCATTCTCAAAGTCACTACACTTGAACCTCCTTACCTACACCCCTGGACTACCGCCAAGTGTTGACAAATACTTTTCAGCATGTTTACAGTAAAAGGAAGACACATTATACCTCTTTATTTTTATGATAATATGATAACACTGGGAATCTTCCTTTGCTTCTGAACTTGGAGCTACCAACAATTATGGGCTTGCTTGCAGTTCTGGGAACATAAAGTTCTTTAGGATAGGTTTCACAAATCTGAAAGACACAGATACACAGAAAGAATTTTACGTGCAAGGCATAAAGCCTATCCTAATTTTATTGTATTCAATTTGAAAGAGATTAGGTGAAATAAGAAATAAAGGATAAACACTAACATGTTTCTCTCTATACATGTAAATAACTCAGACAAGGAGACAAGCCACAGACAAAGTAGTACAAACTGGTATCCAAGTTACACAACAGAGTACTCCCTTACTGGCATTCAGTCTCAAGAACGGGATTCTTCAGTAGAAATGCTAAGAATATGTTTCAAATAAAATACTGAAATAATTTCCCTCATTTTTTTTGTATTTGCAGACTACAAAGTGAGATGAAGTCTAATCTAGGAATCAGCCACACCACCACACCAAATGCTGCAAATGCTAAAGTAGAATCCTGATCAGTTAAGGGAGAAATCACAAAGCTGAAGAGCAACAGAATCGCTGGGGCTGACCTTCAAACAAATAACTATACTCTAGAAACAATTCCAAAGAACCCATGCATCCATACACACGTACTCTCTCAACGAGGCCTTGAGAAAAACTTGGGAAAAATTAGAAAGTTGTGAGACTGCACACTGATTAAGCAGTTTACTCTCTCTACGTGCAAGTTTTTGCTTACACTGCAAGCCAAGTGATTTCATAGTATTAAGCTGTTTTCTATAGGCCTAGAATCCGAGGATAAAGCAGAAACAGATTCAGAGCAGAACATACTTCCATTACAACACTTACCTTATAATCACGATTTGCATCTGACAACTGCCAGTAAGCATTTGGCACTCCCATTCTCTTATACTCTTCTGCTAGATCAATAAGCTGCCAGCCTTTGACTTGCTCAGATTCATTTTGTTTTGGATTATAGGAAAAGGCATAAAGTTCTTCATATTTTGCTAAAAGGTAAAGAAGATATAATGGAGGGAAAGTTTCAGGGTTCAAGATTCACAGAGGCAAGACTAAATAGATACCTGACATGTCCGAAATATTTATTCTGCAACGATCCTACAGCTGACACAATTATAGATACTTAGAGGTAAGTTATGAGAGTTTTCTTGAGTGTATTTGACCTATTTCAGAAGGGACATTTCTAATGCCATAAGGGCAAAGTACAGGTCACAAAATGAAGACTGACAAAACTGAACAAGGCAAAAGACAGAATTATTAGAAGACTTCACAAGAGTTGAAAGAACAAACTATTTTGGGAGGCAGGAAATGAAATTTATATCTACTGACCTTAAAAACTAGTAAGTTTTAAAGTTCCCTTTAAAACAAAAAAGATTTCTAAAATTTTGTTCTTCCTAATATGCCATTCACTTATCACAGATGAATTTTTACACTGTTCTAAACACAAAGCATAAAAAGCAAAAGACCATACTAACTGACAGAAGTCTTCTGTAAAGCTGAATTGGTAGTGTTATTCTAGCATCAACATTTCAGCTTTATTTTTGAAAGTGCATGAAATTAGTAACAACTTAGTATTTGCTAAGTAGTTTTTTATCTATGGAACACACAATTAAGCAAGACTATATGCACTTATATTCACAATTTCAGGGACAGAAATGTAGAAAAAAATAAAGGGATCTCTCATTCTGTTAGGGAACATCAGAGACCTACAAAAGCCAGACAACATATCTTTTGAATTTTTACGTAGATTAATATTTAATCAATAAAATTCTTTACGTACCAAATCCATCTAAGACTTTACATAATGCATGTTTCTTAAAGAAATAAATAAAAGAGCCACGGATTTACACACACACGTACACACATGCCAACTTGTTATCCATGCATATATCCATGCAAAGACTTTTCCAGAGATTTGTATTACCTGTTTTTGACAGCTGAAGCAAAGAGTTATAAATGTCATGACAATCTCTCTCCCTGGGAACAACAAAGTGAACTATCCTGAAGTTCTTGCACTGGATGACAAGGGGGCAGCCAGAAGTAGTCAAGGGAAGCTTTTCCACTGCAGCAATGTGATGATGCAGTATCTGTGACATACAAAAATTCAGAGTGAAAGCGTGCTGATGAAAAGTAAGAGCAGCATACTATTCAGATTAGCAGATGTAAGACACATTATGCAAGGCTGAATATGGATTTTGACTAATTTTGTCCATCGATCATAAAAAGAAATACACTTAGAAGCAGAAATCCAAGAATGACATTTTGGTTAGGATACCATAATTGATAAAAATTTAATTATTCTCTTCTGTCATTTTAAAGTGTTACCTAATTTTTGTAAGAAAGAGTAAATATCCTCCTAAAGGCAAAAGTGAGATGTAAAACTCCACCGTGGTTGGTCACTTTTCTTTAACTTTGCTAACTGACAGGCTTATATCTAAATAGGCAGTGTCCAGACAGGATATAGTGGGAATTTTTAAAGGATTTACAGGAGCACACTTCAAAATTTTCAAAAAGTAAAAAAAAAATAAACTAAGTCAGGAAAAAAAATTCAAAGTATAAAAGATACAGAAGAACCTGATAATTTTAGGATTTCCAGTATTTAATATCTATAGAATGAACAGGAGATAAGAAACACATCTCCTGTATTACATACTGTGTCACGCAGCCATGACAGTCTCTCAGCTAAATGTTTTTTGACCACTTTAACAGAAGACTGTCACAGCAATGGACAGACAGAAGTCCTCCCTAGATTTATCTGCGTGGCAAATCTATGCAAGATTTAGGTAAATACATGGCAAGTAACAACTGTTCAACTGTGGGAAGAAAGGCAAAGATACACTACCTGAACGGAACAAGATGTTCTTGATAGAATTTCAATTATCTCACTGAAGCGACCAACTCTTCTTAAATATTGATCAGAATTTGACAGACATCTGAAAACTATGCTGCCAAATATGCATTTGCAAAGAGACTATATCTTGAAGACATTATGATAATTATATACTTAGTACTTGCATTATCATCAGAAATGTAGTACTCTTGAGTATAAGGTTCCATTTCCCCAAAATGAAACCTTTTAACGCAGGAGAGGCATAGGGAGATGCAAGCAAATAATGCTGAAAGCACCATGAGGAATTTCATCAGATAACCACAATATGGGGAAAAAAGGGTAATCCAGAAAAATATACCAACAGGAAAAAAAATTAACCACAGCCAGGGAAAGGAGATTTCATCCTCGAGGATGAAAGACTTAGGGCACTAACTCAAGCTAGGTAGCTGGTCTCCAGTACAAGGCAAAACTTGATGACCACATGTGTGCCACCAGGGCACTGAGCAGAAAAAACTAATGGGAATTACCGTCCTAGCCAGCTTTGATTGTACAACATTGGTACTGGTCAACAAGAAGCTGCAGCCCCTTATGAAATGTTTTATTCCAGAGATGAATACTTCTGAAGAAATAGCTGCTTACTGCTCTAAAAAAGTGCAATACTTCACCAAAACCTAGTTCTTTGGATTTTTGCTGTCTCATTTAACCTAGATACAATCTAATTACAAGGCAGTTAACACAGAAATTTTAAACCTGATACTTAAACTATCAAGCAGTCTCCCACTCCTGCCTCTGAATTGTGATGCAAGTGAGTTATTTAAAGAAAACCACCACACATTCACTCAGGAATACAAGTGAAGGCTATGGAAAAAATTACAGCAGCTTGAACAGAAGGGAACATTTTCAACATTACCTGAACTCAACTGCAGCAGTGTCATGCAAGAGTATAATCTGCAAATCATTAACTTATTATGATACCGTGAAGGCAGAGAGTGCAGGCAATAAATAAGAAGAACATTTTAGTAAACAAATTCAACCTAAGATCAGGAAGAAGAAACGCGTCTGGAGAACTCATGCCACAAGCCTTCGTTATCCTTACCCATGTCTCTTTCTGGCTTGAATCAATGAATAACAGATGAGTTGCTGTAAGGTACAGAGTCCCCGTCACTGACTTATTGCTCGTGCTGAACCTATCTAGTAATTTCACTTGCTCTACCTGTAAGAAAAAAAGGGAGGGAGAACAAAACTTAATTTTGAATTTTTGCAGAAAGTAAAAATCCTAACTTAGCAAAAGCTTTGTCAGTTTGTGTAATAATTTTGAAAATGGTAGAAAACATAACACGGCACACACAAGGCTATTCAGGACAAACTATGGTCACATAAGCTTTGAGAAGACTGACTAATTAAAATATTCTGTTTCAATACAAGGGTGAATAATGAAGGCACAACACTAGGCTCATCAGAATACTTAATGCATACACATTGCTATTTACTAGTAAAAGAGACAAAGATATCATTAAAAAAGAAGAAGAATTATTAATTGTTAAGTTTTTAGGCTGCTCCCCCAAAATAGAGTAAATACACACTAACAATTTCCTGTTCTTGAGATGCCAGCAGTGAATTAACAGCTGATCTCAGCAAGATGCTTCACTGGCTGTTTGCAGACTCAAAGCCATAAAGATTATGTTCTCCTGACTTCAATTCTAGGTATATACTGTCTTTTACATAATCCTCAACTTAAAAAATCTAGAACATCATAACTCTGCCTTATAGTCAAAGTACATTCTAATGAAATGAAAGGATTATATTAATAATTATAAAAACTCATAGAAATTCAAGGACAGTTGGCATTTGAAGCAGATATTTCAAGCTTGAATCTGGAAAGGGCAAATGACTCCTGGTATTCCATCAACATTGTTAACTCAATGCTACGGAAAACATTTCAAAAGAAAGTGATTTCTAGATATCCTGCATTTTATCTGCCGCTTACAACTTCACAGGCTTCAAAGTTTGCTGTATTTGAAGAAAAAATTACATGATTCTTGGTGTGCAACAACATGAAAGGCAAATGGCTTATCTCTGTGCATTCCTCTATTTCTTGGCAGCACTGTCTCATTAATACCAAGTTAAAGCTCTTTGCCACCATTAAGTTCATGGCAGAACTCCAAAAACTTCCACACGAGTCAGGCCATCACTGAGATGAGGTGACTAGGAGAGCCCACATCTACTGTGCTGATGTTAAGCCAGGTAATTCATATGTACAAACATATTTATCTACTAAAAGCACATATAAAACAGAAAAAAAATGTTTTTTCAATTCAGGAATTTTTTATAATCTAGCAAGGCCTAATATTGTTTTTTGAAAGTTAAAAAAAATGAATACAAAATAGAATGGAGGAAATAAAAATATCTAGAAGTCAGCATTACTATGATATTCTAGATTTCAGTTTATAAAGCAAAAAAATTGGAAGCTCCATGCATCAGTACTTCAATATACATTATGCTGAAACTAGCAAAGTATCAGTCCTCAGATACAGAGCAGCATAAGTGAATATAGCACAGCCAAAAGACAGAATTCATATTGGGCAGATCTGCAGTGATAATTGCTCAGTACCTGGCACTGCACCTCCCCAGCAAACTGAGAAGTGCACAGAAATTGTTCCAGTTTTGTTCCCGTAATACAACCCACAAAATCCTAGCATGTGAGCTTTCATTCTCCTCCATGTAACAAGGCAGCTATCCTCAAAGTCAGATGAGGGAAGGCATTAGCACTCCAGCTTCCTCTTACACAGATAATGTCTTCAAGAATTCTGAAAGCTAAATTGTAGATATACTTTTCTTAAAGAAAACTGAAATGTAATTTAGATTTAGCCTCTGTAGACGACATGTTCATTCAAACTCAAGTCCATTTCAATGGCTACTCAGCTAATCATACACTCTTTTTTGGTTTTGTTTTGCCTTTTAATTGTGAAGTTTGGCAACTCCTCAGTCATGGAAAAAAGTCATCAGTTTTGAAGATGATGGGCTTGACAGACTGAAGACTGCTACTGAGTTTAGCACATTTGTAAACAAGGATCATTTAAGCAGTCACAAGCAGTATTCTGACAGTAGCTAGCACTAATAAATTAGTGACCTTTTAAATCAGTAAGAATTTGAACAGCAACCTCAATCATACAGAATATTTGCAAGCGAAGAGTCACCAAAAAGTTTATCATGACTAGGAGTTACATCCCTCAATAATCTCCTTCCCTTCAGGGATTGCTACTTTATCCCTGCTCAGGGAGGTTTAGATTGGATATTAGGAAGAAATTCTTTACAGAGAGGGTAATCAGGCACTGGAACGAGCTACCCAAGGAGGTGGTGGATTCTCCATCCCTGGAGGTATTTAAGAAGAGACTGGATGTGGCACTTAGGTAATTTTTAAGTTGACCTCACATCTTTATTCAGCATAAATATGATGGACAGTTAAAGTCTAGCTTTTCGTGAAATTAATTTCAGGTAGCTGTGCTGACAGTTCTGAAAGAATTTTAATGTCAACGTTTCTAGCAAACTGAAGTTTGAGGAGGTATAAGACCTATTTCATCATCTTCTCCTAGGGATAACAGCTGCACTGCAGAGCAGCTAACCTGTGCAAAACTACAGTTATTTCAATTATATTTCACTCTGACTTTAATCAAATAAATTGAAAAAACCAGAGTGCTGTCAGACTAGAAAATACAGGTATGTTTCAGAACAGCTGGAATGAGATCCAACTTGAACCTACACAAAAACTGAGCTTTTAAGACCTACAGTGCAGGTTGTACTTCAGTTTTTTTGTTTCCTATAACTGTAATACTCAATTACTACCATCTAGCCTATATGCATTTTAATCCAACTGGATATTCAATAAACCAACAGTTTACAAAAAGCTAGGTGAGCATCACATTTGTAACCAAAACAAATCACGCTATTTCTAGCCATGAAATTGATGTTTTAGAAATGGATACGTTTTTTGTATGAATTATGAAAATAATTGCTTCAGGTAATAAGTTTGAACACTCTCTGTTCAGAGTTCATTTCTCTCTTCAGTTCCACAGCAGGGCCCCAAAAACAGGCAGAAACCACCACAGATGCAAAGAGATCTGTAGCCTTTCTGGTCTCAATTTCAGGTTTGAAACTTAAAACAGCTCCTCTGCTCATCAAGAGACTTCGGCTTTAGCCTAGTTATCATTTTGAAATCAGCTACTGATTGTAACTGTACAATATTAAGTTCCCAAACAAGGAGTTTCAGGTTTATAAGTAAATAGGCTGATACAGAAACTTTATCTCCAATCTGTCAGCTTAGTGAAAAACTATTCCACCCAGTGAATTAAAGTGTCACTAACAACAGCTTCATCAGAGACTTTCCTCCAGTTTCCCACATAAACATACAAATGTATATAAAAAA